GCATTTTGGAATGAGTGGTCAGTTGACTCAGGCCAAACTCAGGCACGTACATAGCCTACCAGCTGCCCAATTGTAAGAAACAAATGTTTTGATCCCCCACCATTCTGTCTTTCTGCTCCCCCAAACCTCAGCCCCAGGGCTGCTGTTGAGTTAAATCCGGGTGTTCCGCCTGCTTTACACTCCTCATCTTTGCTCACCAAGTTGCTGTCGAATCTAGTTGGTGCCAGTCTTTTGCCTGTGTGTGGCAGAGTCTCCACCCATGACACCTGCTTACCACGAGCTCTACCTACCCTTCCTTGGACTCACTGTTCAGCCCTCAGTTGCAATTCAAAACCACGGGCTCCTTTCTGAGACACTTCCTGCTACCCCATTGGAACCTGCCACTCATGGCTAGGAAGGGGCTCATCTTGTAAAACACTTGCCTTGTGTGCTTGCTTGTCTTATGTAAACTACAGGCTAGTGTAGTTTGAAAGGCAGGAACCTCAACTGAGAGAAGACCCTAAAAGATCAGGCCTGCGGGGTCCTAGCTAATTTTTTCTTAAATAATTAAAAAAATCAATTGATTGATAGGGGAGGGCCCAGCCCATTGTGGATGGTGCCAGACCTGGGTTGGTGGCCCTGAGTTCTGTAAGAAAGCAGGCTGAGCAAGCCATTGGGAGCAAGCCAGGAAGCAGCACCCCTCCATGGCTTCTGCATCAGCAGCTCCTGCCTCCAAGTTCCTAACCTGTTTGAGTTCCGGCCTTGGCTTCCTTCAATGGACTGTAACTCAGGACTTGTAAGTCTTTAAATAAACCCTCTCCTCCCTAATTTGCTTTTGCCACAGTGTTTCATCACAGCAATGGGAACCCTAACTAAGACACTTGGCAAGCATGAAGAGCTAAGTCTGGATCCCCAGAATCCACATGAAAAAAGCCACACACATCTGTAATACCAGTGCTGGGGAGGCAGAAACAGGAGGGTCCCTGGGGCTTGCTACCCACGCAGTCTAGCTAAGCAGTGAGCTCCAGCTTGATTTCTGAGAGAGATCCTGTTTCAAAAACCAAAATGAGAGGCTGGAGAGCTGGCTTAAAGAACAGTTAAGGGCACCTGTTGCTTTTGTAGAGGACCCAGGTTCAACTAATATAATCCACACAGTAATTTACAACCACATGTGACTCCACTCCCAGGAATCCAGCACCGTATTCCGACCTCCAAAGGCACTGGGCACGCACATGGTTTACAATACATACATGTGGGCAACACATACACACACATAAGAAATAAATGAATTCTAAAAGAGTTGGAAGAGGACACTCCACAGGACTTCTGTTCTACACACACACACACACACACACACACACACACACACACCCTCCATCTGTATGTATTCAAACATACTCCCCCTTCACATGCCTCATTTCCATGATGTCCAAGAGGGCTGATCTCAATCTCTCTCTCTCTGAGCACTTGCCAGAGGTCAAACTGCACTCTTTTTGTCTGTCTCCTAAAAGACTAAGTGAGCTTCACAAGGGCAAGGAGGGACATACGTCCCCCAATCACGGCAGACAGCAACACTGAATTCCTCAACACTGCTACCAGTGACTCTCAGGAATTCCGATCAAACAGAAACCCGAACAGAAACCGGCAAGGGCAAGGAGGGTAAAGGGACCAGACATTGGAGCTCCTCCCACACCCCACCTTCGACAGGATCACAGAGTGCAACCCTGTCTTTTGGCTAATTCTTTCAACGAAGGAAACAATTACATCCCTTCCCCTAACGTCCTCCACAGTTGAAAAAAAAAAAAGGAATCATTTATTCTCATTCTTGTAACTGAGCAAGGACCATGAATGAACACCAGCTGGAAAAAGAGCCATTGTTTAACTGCTTAAATGACCAGGTTTCTAGGATCCGGATGGTGCAGAGGGGGTTGGACTCAAGATAGAGCGAACTGGGCAACAAACCTTGGAATTCAGCACCATTTACTAGCCCTTCTGCTCACCAGGTGCAGGAGTTTGGGCTTCAATTTGCAGATCTGACAAATGGGATGTGATAAATACACGGGGAAGACCATAAGTTCTCTCTCCTTGGCTTTGGGTGGAGTTTTTGTCCCAGGAAGGAAGCTGAAGCTCCGTGGGAGAGTCCGTTCTAGCCCCAGGAACTGAGTAAGTAAGTAATCACTGAGACGTGAGTCCGAGTTGAGAAGGCATTTTGCATTAGGACACAGTAACCTTGAGTTCTGATCTGAACAGCTTGTGATGGAGCCCAAGCCCCAGGCCAGACCTCACCCGTGGTGAGTCTTTCCGTTGTTTCCTCCGACCACAGCCAAGCGCTGCACCATGACGGCGTAGCAGGAAAAAGACAGCCTCACAACCCATGAGGGCCAAACACCAGCAAGATACACCTTGCCGGGGATCCAGACTCAGAGCCAGCTCTTAGAGCATCAAAGCTACCCCTACTCCAGGCTCCAAGGAGAATACAGGCTTCCCGGTTACTGGGCGGAGCTGGGCCTGACGCTGGAGCACCCGCCCGACTTGAGGAGTCAGGCCTAATGGAGGGGCTTCTCTGTTCACCGGCTTGCCCCCCTCCACCCTCCAGCAAGGAAGGGCTCTGCTGCCATTTCCATTCCCTCTGAGGCTCAAGAGTCCTGTTATTTAATACGGTGGCCACCCGGGCAGCATCCTGCCGAGGCCTGCTCCACCCATCCACCTGGCCAGTTCACTACTGTTCCCCTTTTTTTAGGGGAGTGACGAGGGGGAGCATTCGGGAAAACTGCCTTCTGCAACAAAGGGCACAGGGCCGCAAGATTACAAAGGGTATGTCTTCTGAGGACTGGAGGCCGAGGGCGCGAGTAGTGACGGGGGCACCAGCCAGGGCAACAGAGGGCGGGCGGAAGCCCGGGGCACTGCGGACATTACTCTGGGGCGGGAGAGAGGCGGGGTTGAGACCTCTGGCTGAGTGGACTGAATCGCCCCGGGGGGTACTGGAGCCGGAAGAGGTCTTGGCCCAGATACTGTCCACACCCAAGAAATAGGAGGAGTGGTCAGACTCACTCAGCAGCCCCCACCCTACCCTTCATTGAAATAGACAAAAGACGTTTTACTAATTTTTGGCAAATGCGGTTGCAAGGTCCCTGCCCCCGACGTCCCCAGGCGCCACTGGTCTTGAAAAGAACGCTCCCAGTAGGGGTCCCCTCGCTCCCCCTCCCCATCGCCCGCGGCGACCAGAGATACGCTGATCGAGGTGTGGCCTCCCCCACCCTTCTCTGAGCTCAGAATCCGGAGGCCGCGGCGCCCCCCACCCTCTAGTCACACTGACGGTTCCTGCCCCAGCCCGCAGTGGCGTGAAGGTGGCCTTTACCTCCTCTCGCAGGCTGGGAGGAGGGTACAACCCACGCAGCTGAGCCAGCTGCAGCAGTCGCCGCCGCCCTCCATTCATTAAAAAGGAAAAAAAGAAAGGAACAACAACCTCCACCCCTCTTTGTAAAAGAACGACGGCCCCTGGAGGAGCAACACCCGGCCCAGCAATCACGGGTTAAGCTCTTTTCCGGCCCCCCATTCATAAAAAAAAAAAAACCGCAGCGCATGCGCGCACGGGGTCGCTTGTGCCCACCCATTCATAGAATCGCGGGCAGCGCGCGTGCGCATTGTAGCTCCCTGCCCTCCCATTCATAAAAAAGCCATTTTCCCAGGCAAGGGTTGCAACATCGCCGCCGAGGCAGCGAGCAGAGCTGACAGCAGCGGAGCTGGCGCTGCACGACTCAGGGAGCCTTGCCGGCTCCTCTGACTGGCGTCTGCGAGTACAACAGCGACTAACCCACTCGGGCTCGGGGATTTACATAGACGTGGAGCGATGCTTGTGACTCTGCAGCTCCTCAAAGTAAGTTCACAGCCGGCTTGGAGATCCGAAAGTACCCCCTTCGTGCCGTGACGCGGCTCCCCTCGGGCTGGGGCCAATGGCACGCTATTTCGAGCCTCTTCGGGTGTTCCTTCCCTCGGTCTGCGCCTCCTCCGAGTCCCTGCGGTACGCCGCAGCTACCAGGCGCGCCTGGCCGACACGGCGCTAAGGGTGTTCGCTGCTTGGCACTGCCGTTGCCGACCCTGGGCATTGCCAAGTCGGGCTTCCGCGCTCACTGCGACTCTGGAAACCTTGTTAGCGTCCGGGGAGTTTGCCTCTGGCCTGGCATTTTTTCTTGAACCACTACTCTCCTTGAGCCCTGGAATCCGCAGCCCCAGGCTCGCACTAGAGCGACCACTTGGGATTTAGGGACTCCCTAGGTTTGGGCAGCTCGCCTACCCCCGGGCTCCGTGCCCACGGTGCCAGCTCCGCCGTGGGTCTTCCCAGACCTTCCTTAGGGGCTTATGATCGACGTAGCTTTTTCTTTCCCGATTCCGAGCGGTGGTGGGCTAGGTTTCATCTCCTTATGTTTCCCCACTGGATGGTCAGCGTGGGGCCGGCCAAGGACTGAGATCCTTGGCGAGGCGGTTCCAGACCGTCTGACCTTTGCTCGGCTGCCTCATTTTATGCTGTGCAATTGCCTTCCTTCTTTTCCCCCTAGCCTCTTCTGGATCCGAGGCTCCTTGGCCACCCGGTGCCCCCTATCAGACATCGATTTTTTTGTCAGGTCCCAGAGCCCCTGGGCCTCTCACTAAGGCTGTGGTGGGGGCTGAAGGTGCGTTTACATAACGCCAGGCGTGTGGGAGCCGGAGGAAGAGGTTGCGTGCGTAGGAAAGATAAGGTGCCCACATTACCTCCTTGTTGGTATCAGACTTGACAACACGGGAGAATAGCGGATAGAGACGGTATGTTCTGAAAAATTTGGAGTGGCTAGGGTCATGGGGGCATCGAGGGGGGTAAGGGAGAGGACTGGCTTGGCCAACCCAGGCAGCTGGAGCTTGGCTCCATCACTGGGGCCACGGCTGTGCCCAGTTCCCTCTCCAAGCAGGCGATCAAAAAGCATTTACAGTAGCTGCTCTTGGGCAAGAAGACGGCTTCTCAGTACTCCTGATCGGGGGCTGGGGGTTGTGGGCAGAGAAGGCAGGAGACAGAAAGATGGCTGCATGAATTGAAGGGGCTGAGGGATGGAGTTCTATGCGACATGGGCAGGAGAGGATTGCATGGAGAGTACAGGGGAAAGCTGCTGGCTTGGGCATCCATATTGTCAGGCCTGGCTCAGGGCAGAAGGCCTCCTACTGCGCAGGGAGGCTCCCCGGATCCCTGCGACGCTGCAAGGAAAAGATAGATTCCATGGGGTCCTCAGATGCAGTGGCAGTCTCCTCTTTAATGTCACCAACCAGTGGCGTGATTCTCCCCATTTTGAGGAGCGGCAAGGGAACGTGGGGAGGGCAGGAGCTCAGACTACATCCCCTGTGTAGCTGACCAGTGCTGCAGCCTTCCTGACAGGCCTCTCCGTACAAAGCTGGAAGGTGAGACGTAGAGAAGTTGGGAAATAGGAGTTTATCAATCTCTTAATAAGTTCCGTCTGGCCTAAGGCCCTACCCAATATTGCACCGCTGGATTTCACAATGTTTGGAGTTCTTCAGGTCTTCACACAAATGGAGCACAAACATCCGAGATTTTCTGCTTCTAATTCCACTTTAGTGCCGACGTGGGGGGGGGTCTTCACAGGGAAGGCTGCAGTTGTTCCGGCCCTTTCTCTGAAAGAAGTTGTAGGGTTGACACCCCTGAGGTTGCATTTCCTCTATTTCCAGTTCTTTGGGAGGATCCCTTGGTTCCAGGAAAACCCTCCCCAGGCTAGAGCAGGTGAACTGTGTCGGTGAGCATGGAGATTGCTGAAATCTGGGTGGACAACTAGGTTGACATGCTTTAATGACATGCTGGCTCCATCTGAAATTTTAGACCTGAGTTCAGGAGTGTCTCTGGGATAGCCATGCCCTCTTGCTGGATCCCACAACCTTTTCCGAGTTTCCCTCTGAAATGGTAACCACAGTTGGGGCTGGTGGGAGGAGACAGCCCATAGACTAGATTCATCCAGGGCAATGGGAGGCTGGGCATCCACTGCTCTTTTTGCTTGTATCACATTCCAGAATTGGCAATTTGGAAATCACCCTTTGCCCAGTTCATACCTCTTTTTCACTATCTTGTGAACTTAGCACTATATGTGCCCAGAGGGTTGGCTGACTTTCCAAAACAACAGAAAACAAATGAAGGCAAATAGGTGATCCAAAATGAAGGGAGACAAACCCCATTAAGGCTTTCTTATGTGGCTTTTGCAATGTGTCCCTCTTTGGACCATGCATAAGGGCTTTAAATTCCAGTCCCTTGCTAACATGTTTTTAAGATTTGTTTTGAGGCAGGGTCTCATCATGTAGCCCTGGCTGTCCTGGAATTCAGTCTGTAGACAAGGCTGGCCTTGAACTCAAAAAGAGATTCACCTGTCTCTGCCTCCAAGTATTGGGATTAAAGACTTGTGTAGTTGTATCCAGCTAACATTTTCCATAAATCCTTGCTGGTTGGGTAAGGCCTCTGAGTATTGGTTACAAGACGACCAGGAAGAAGGGCACTCGCTCTTTCAGGTTTAATTTGGTTTTGAATCTAGGGTGTCTGTCCTGGGAGAACCAAGAAGGGAGTGGAAGGTCCATGTGCCTAGCTGGGGAAGATTTTGTCTGTTCAATTTACTAGGGTGTTTGGCAATAGACCGGACAGGGTTTGTTTGCTAGCTCACTTGCTTGTAGTGAAACAAGGTCTTGTCCCGTAGGCACAGGCTAATCCTAAACTCTTAAAATTCATTTTAATATCTACATACATATCACGTGTGCGTGTGTGCTCCATGTGAATGCAATTACCCACAGCAGTCAGGCCTTGGATGCCCCTGGAGCTGGAGTTACTGGCTAAAGTTGTAACAGCTGCCTAAATTTGGTGCTAGAAAACCAAACTCGGGTCCTCTGGAAGACCAGTATGTCCTTCCGGTAAGCCATTTTCCAGTTCCATAATCTTGTTTTGTTTTTGTTTTTTGTTATTTTGGAGACAAGAGTTTTCTGTGTAACAATCCTGGGCTGTCCTGGGACTCAAATTTTGTGGGCCAGACTGGCCTTGAACTCATAGTGCCTCCTGATTGCTGGGATTAAAGGCGTGTCCCCCCTAGGACCTGCAGTGTTGAGGTTCTTAATTTCCGTGCCTCCTGTAATTCTGAGTGTTGGGTTTACAGATGCACCACCTTGCCGAGCTATGACGGGGTTTTTGTTTATTGTTTAAGACAAGGTCTTGGCTTGCCTGAAACTCACTGTGGAGACGAGTTGGCCTTCAACTTGGAGCAATCCTCTGGAGTGTTAGCATTACAGTTTGCAAAAATCAAAGTTTTAAATAAGAGGGGTGGCGAAAGCAGAGAACACAGTGACTCGTGGTGGTGGATTTTTGTAAGGAGATAATGATCAACGCTGGGAAAACTTACTAATTCTTTCAGACTAGGCAAGTGGTGGAGAGACCAAGAGACCTAGAGATCGGGCAACCAGTAGGACTGCTAGTTCATGCTAGGACTGATACAAGTTCACTGTTAATGCTGTACTCTTAGGAGGAGGGTCTGGTTTTAAGGACCTTTTGAATAAAAGGCACAGGAAGAACAGGGTGCTGTGCGATTCAGAAGGTGGGGGTACTATTACTGTCTCTCAGCGAGCTGGGGTTACCCTGCAGAGCTGGACAGCTGACTAGGTTGGAGAATGTGTCCACAACATGTGGCCAAGCTTAAGAGGCCCTGCCAGTCAGCTGTGATGGGGGTGGTTCTTTCCAAGGAAGGGCCTCCAGCCGGTGGAGGAAGAGAGGAAGCAAGGCACTGTCGTGAGGCACAGATGTTCTAGGTCTAGTGGAGGAGGGAAGGGGCCCTGGGGACAGGTGACCAGTTACAGAAGAGCAGTTTTTCCTTGTCAGTCTGTTTCTAGCTGGGAAAGGGGGAAGTCATTTCCTGCTCAATCCCAAGAGTAAGCTAAAAATCTCTTGTCAGTTCTGTCTCTTGGTGGAGGCTATAGGGAGACAAGACAGTAAGACCATCCTGATGTTTAAAAAGAAGCCTTTCAAGGAAGGGGCTGGGGCTGTGCAGGCCTCTGGTCAACATTCTATGACTTGGCCTGGTCAGCTCCTGAGCAGCTTAGCAGGCCCCCCATCTATTGCCCTCCCTTCTTGGTGGCATGGCTTCTGATCTGTCTTTAACAGGACACTGGCGGGGCAACTGTACGGGTATACATAGAGCAGAAGCTTGAAGCTGGTTAGAATTACCCAGTGCAGTCAGGAGTGGAAGGCAGCTGAAAACACTGGACAAAGGATGACTGGGCCACTGTCTTTTGTGATCCCTAAACGTGGCCAGCTGTGAGCTCTAGGGCTGGTGATAAGGGTGTGTCCTTCAACTGGGTCTTCACAAGTTGGCTTCCCCCATGAGGGGCTTTCCCTACCCCCTTTCCTTAAGGGTCTTTTTAAAGCACTAAGTCCCACCTGGCTATAGCTTGATGAACTAAACCTGGTTAGGACCAGGCAATAGTGTTGCAGAGGGGTGGGCTGCCTCTCTGGTAGCCTAAAGACATTTACCCTGAGTTATTTAAAGGGTTAAACAACCTTCTGTGGAAGGACCTGTGAAGACAAATGGGCAGCACGGAAACTGCCCATCCGTTCCCAGCTTCTTGCCAGCTTGTCACCTGCTGACTTAAAGGGAACCGCAGCCTTCCCCAGCTCCCCTTCCTAGGGTATCTTGTAGCAAGGGAGAGGTGGCCAGATGGTGCTGACATTTAACCTTGCCTCTATTCTTCTCACGAAGCCCCGTGCTCAGCTCCCTCCCCACAAGGTACAACTGGCAGTGAGTGAGGGTTACCCATCCTGACCCTCACCCCGAGCTGCCAGACCAAGCAGCAGCAGATCAAGGGTCGGTGTGGTGGGAAAGTGGGTGGGGGTGGGTAACTTGCTGATTCTTCAGCCTCACCATCCCCTTGTGCCTGGCTCTCCCTCCATCTCCCCTCCCCTCCATCAGAGGTGCCACAGGAAACCCAGAGTTGAACTTGATGGGTGAGGAGGGAGGGAACCCTTTCACGCCAGGGTTGCCTTTTCCTTTAAGGACTGTTACAGTGGAACCCTGTTTGGGAGATTCACTGGGGTAAAGATGAAAACACTTAGTAAAATGAGGGGTGAAGTGGTGAAGAAGATAGCCCCCAAACCCTGTTTGGGGTGATTTATCAGCTGGTTGGGTTACTGAACCCCACCCCCACTAACCACAGGGCTGGCAGCTAATGGGTGGGGGTTGGGCTACTGAATGCTAGCCCAAGGCTAGGAAAATGATTGGTGCTTGTACACTTTTCCATGGATCCCCAGGGGTAGGGAAGGCTTCCACAAGTCATTGTCAGCTAGAGCTCCCCATCTGTTACAGCCGCAGGGTCCCATGTCTAGAGATGAGTCCTGTCCTGATCCCTTGCATGGTCTTCGTGTGCTCCCCCGTGTGTGTGTGTGTGTGTGTGTGTGTGTGTGTGTGTGTGTGTGTGTGTACACTGCATGCACACTTGGTGTTACTGGAGAAGAGATGTCAATGGATTTCCCCAGAATTAGAGACAAGCGAGATTTGTGAGCCACCGTGGGAGTGCTGGGAACTAAACCAGGCACTGTTTCTCTGCCTTGTCATTAGACGGAGATGGGCATAGGGTCTTTCACTGGACTCTGATAACCTGGTGGCATGACTGGCCAGTGAGCCTTCCTGTCTCACTCCCCCCACCCTGGGGTTACAGACGTGACAAAGCTGAGCTTTGGGGAATTGGAATTTAGCTTGGGTGGCAAGCCCTGTACTTTCATTTCTAACTCCAGAATGGGAGCTATCCCCTAAGGTGAATGGTGAGGGTTAAATGAGGAAAAAATCAGTACGGGTGCCGCAGAGATCCTGTCACCAAGTGTCCCATAAATATTAGTCACTTCTGGCAACTATCTGTGTTGTTATTGGAGGGGAGGGGAGAGTTCTTATGCTAATCATTTAGCTGGGAGGTGCTTCCTAGGCTAAGTGCAGGGTTGGCATCATTTCCATTTCCATCCGGATTCTTCCAAATTGACCATCAAGCTCTTCCCAACAGCTTACTGAGGCAAATCCTCCTGTCCCATTTATATTGTATAAATCTCTTCCTTCCTTGGAGGAGAGGCAGAGGTGCCTATTAAAGTGCACTTAACACCTGCAAGGATGAGCAGGCTGAGGGGCGGAAATGTCCCAGGGTGGAGACTGATCTTAGAAATAGAACTCAGAGTTGGGGTTTTTGCTGGAGCTGTACTGCAGGGTTATCAAACAGGCATTTAGGAAGTTGTTTTTCTTTTCCAGCCATATCAAGTCAGCAGAGGCGCACGAGGCTGGGGCAGGCCTAAGCAAGTATGAGCAGTGGCTCTGTGAGCCAGCCATTGGGTTTCACTGAGACAGTGGCTGGAAGAATTCAGGGTTATGTAGGGAGATGCCTTTTCAAACATGTTTTCTGGAACCAAATGTCAGATGTGAGTCCTGAGAGAACTGAGTCACTGGGGGCCAAGATCCCACACTCTCTAGGCTGGCCTCACCACAGCCCAGATGTTGACAGCTGCCTCTGGAGAGTGATAGGGAGCCTGTGGATGGCAGTAGCTTCTCTGTTCCAAACTGGCTTGCTGATGAGGTTTTTGCATGATTGGAGAGTCAGCTTACTGATTCCAGGGCTTGTTAAACATCTGTGACACTTTATAGTATGCCAACTTAACGATTTCTTACCAAAGATCTCAGAACTAGAATCTGGGGTTTCTAACTTAACTGGCCAGTTGATGCCCTGAAACCTGCCACCTCCTTGGAACCTCCTTAGTTGAAAGGTAGCACTCCTTGCAGACCTGTGTTCATGATGCTTCTACCCAGCCCTGACCATGGCAGTTCACTTACTTGGAGCTGCCTTGACAAGAGACTGACTTTTTTGGTGGAAGGCCTGCCTGGTGGTCATTCGTTTAATGGTAGCAATTGGGAAACGAAGGAATGAGCTTTTTTTTTTTTTCCAAGACAGGGTTTCTCTGTGGCTTTGGAGGCTGTCCTGGAACTAGTTCCAGGTTGGTCTGAAACTCCCAGAGATCCACCTGCCTCTGCCTCCTGTGCTGTGTCACCACTGCCCAGCTGAATAAGGACTTCTATAGCCCAGCCTGGACTGTATCATATTAAGTTTCAGACCAACCTAAGATGAATGTGAGATCTTGTCTCAAAAAAAAAAAGACCAAAAAGGTTCTGATTTCACCAAAGAACTCTGTGGCCACTGCCACTATGTAATGTAGACTAAAGACACACCTTTAGCCCCAGCACTTGGGAGGCAGATACAGGCAGAACTCAGTGAGTTCAAGGCCCACCTGGTCTACAAAATGAGTTCCAGGACAGCCAGGACTGTTAAACACAATGAAATCCTGTCTCGAGAAAAAGAAATACCTATGGGGCCAACAGTTACTGTCTTGTGTAAATCGGAACTGTCCCGTGAGTGGCCCTTGTGGAAAAGATTTGGTGTTTTTGCTGTGGATAACCTTTCTATTAGAGCTAGCTGTTTATTTCATTCGAACTTAGAAGCATCCAAGAAAATGCTTCAGCTGTTTGCAACCAAACCCTTTCCTCCAAGCAGAGGCAAGCATAGTTGTGAGTTCCCATCAACCTCCCCCCTCCGTCACCACAAACACTGTACCATAGTTTGACTTCCAGGGAGCCAAGTGTCATTCTTCTGTGACACAGATGGACTAACAAGTCCCAGCAAGGGGGGGTGGGTAAACGGAACTAGAAACCTGCTTCACATCCCCCTGGCAACACCTTTGATGCAAGATAAACTTAGCCGAGAGACGGGAGCTGTCATTAGCATCTTGAAGAGGCATTTACAGAAACACCACCCTTAACTAGCACACACAGCTCTGTGTGCTGTCTTTATGAAGGCCCTCTTCCCTTGCTCCTTCCCTCCCTCCCCCAGTCCCTTGAAGCTCTTTGTGGAATCTTCCCAGAGTGTAATCATCTTCCCTTTGGATTCCAGATTGTGTCTCCTTCGAGCAGAGGTCTTGGCCTTCTGCTGCTATTTCTTTAAATTGATCTCCATCCGAATTCCAAATGTAAAGGTCAGCAGGCAAGGAAATGGCACTTCTAATAGAAAACAATGTGCACTTTCTAAATTTGAACCAAGCCGTTTCCGCTCTTTGATTTAAGTGACTTCCTGGGTTTCCGTGTCAGGCGCTGCAGTTGAATCTCTGGCCGGATGCCAACTTAAAATTGCACTCTCTCAGTGAAATTAGAAACTGATCCAGGGTTGCCTTAGCTATTCTAGTAAATAGCATTTAGTCTGAATGTTCAGCTCAGCACTTGGAAATGGGTGATGTGAGTGTCCCTTGAGAGGATTTCCCATGCAAGTTGTCAGCTCACCTACTCAGGGTTTATTGGCTGCTGGAGGTGGCCGCTCTTGGAAGTGGGAGTAATGGGTTAACATCCTGGATGAGTGAGCATAAGATAGACGCAGTCCTTCTCTTCTCGGTACCCCAAGTGAAGGCTTTTGTTTACCCAGCTGATAAGAGCCAAGGGAGCAGAGCACACAGGAACTGTTGGGTTGACACATCCATGGTCCTCAGTGCCCAGTATGGTTGGTTCCTGCAGGACTGGGAAATGCTTGTGTAGGAGTCAAAGTGGTTCTAGTTTGAGGTAATGGGGAATTGCTTAGTGCTTTCTATGTACTGACTGTGTGTGGGTACCAGGTGTACATTTTCTCCTTCAATTCTTGCAAGAACCCTTTTACAGTCATAAAACCACGGCGTAAGCCAGAGGAACTCCCGGGCAGCTTGGGCCCCAGCGCTCACCACTGCAGAGGCAGGTGGATCTATGAGCGCAAAAGCCAGCCCAGGTCTGCATAGTGAGACCCTCCACCTGCTGACAGCCCCTCCCCCAGCAGTGAGATGGCTCAGTTGGTACAGGTGCTTGATTGCAAGCCTGGGGACCTATGTTCAATCATTATCACACATAAAGGTGGAAGAAGAGAAGTTTTGTCCCCTGACTTACAGCTTACATTTTTAAAAAAGTTTAAAAGTTGTAACTTCACAGCGACACTGTTAGGCCTAAGGTGTTCTGTTGTTGGCCACCAGGTTGCAGTAGATGCTACTTCTGCCAGTATTCTCATTATTGATCATTTCAGCTTTGGGAATTGCTAGGAAGTTCTTTGAAGGAATTTAGTTCCCATTTTGTCTAGACTCTCAAGGCCTGTATTAAGACTGAGAGGAGGATATTATTAACAGGCCATATGTTGATGCTGGAGATCCATTTTCTCTTTTCTTCCTCTCCCCCAGGGCCCCTAGAAGCTTGTCTGAGTTGCGGCCCAGGACCTCCAGCCTCATGGAGCCCCGGATCCCACAGGGCACTGTCCCTTTGACTCCCGGCTCCGCCATGGTACAGCCCCTCCTTGACAGTCGAGTACCCCACAGCCAGTTACAGCACCCACTCACCATCTTACCCATTGACCAGATGAAGACCAGCCACGTGGAGAATGACTACATAGACAACCCTAGCCTGGCCCCCACCGTGGGCCCCAAGCGGACCCGGGGTGGGGTCCCAGAGCTGGCCCCTACCCCCGGCCGCTGTGACCAGGATGTCACTCACCACTGGATCTCCTTTAGCGGTCGGCCCAGCTCTGTAAGCAGCAGCAGCAGCACCTCCTCAGACCAGAGGCTCCTCGACCATATGGCTCCGCCACCAGTAGCTGAGCAGGCTTCCCCCCGGGCTGTGCGCCTCCAGCCCAAGGCGGTCCACTGTAAGCCACTGGACCTCAAGGGCCCAGCAGCTCCACCAGAGCTAGACAAGCACTTCTTGCTGTGTGAGGCCTGTGGGAAGTGTAAATGCAAGGAATGTGCGTCCCCTCGGACGTTGCCCTCCTGCTGGGTCTGCAACCAGGAGTGCCTGTGCTCAGCCCAGACCCTGGTCAACTATGGCACGTGCATGTGTCTGGTTCAAGGCATCTTCTACCACTGCACCAATGAGGATGACGAGGGCTCCTGCGCTGACCATCCCTGCTCCTGCTCCCATTCCAACTGCTGCGCCCGCTGGTCCTTCATGGGTGCCCTCTCTTTGGTGCTGCCCTGTCTGCTGTGCTACCTGCCAGCCACAGGCTGTGTCAAGCTGGCCCAGCATGGCTATGACCGCCTCAGGCGCCCTGGTTGCCGCTGCAAGCACACGAACAGTGTCATCTGCAAGGCAGCCAGTGGCGATGCCAAGACCAGCAGGTCTGACAAGCCTTTCTGACACTTTGGATGTGAAAACTCAACACTGCCCTTGGAAACTGGGGTCCCTCCTGCCAGTCTCCTTGAGACTGACCTGGCTCATCTGTCCTCTCTTAAACCCCAGATAGAGAAGAAACAGGCAGAGACCACTACCACCCAGCTTAGAGTCCCCAAAAGGATGAAGATGCACTTTGGGGTTTTCGAAACTTTATGCCAAGCAGCAGTGACAGCATCAGGGTGTGGTGGTTTGGATGTCGTTTTCCTATTTCAGAAGACAGGACACTGATGTGGACATAATCCAGAAGTTCGGCTGCTCAATGGCCTTCCCAGCCCCTCCTCAACCCCACTCTCCCTCTTTGCCTCTGGCTCCTGCTGGAGCCTCCCGCCTGGGAGGAACAGCCAGTGGAGGGTGGAACACCTCAAGGAAGACCTGCAGAGCCTTGACTTCTCTGTTCGTCCTCTGCCCATGCCTGTTGGCCTCAGCCTCTTGGGAAGGAGGTGCACCATAGCAATCCTGCTGTGTGTACTTGATAGCTGAGAACAAAATCGCTGGTGAGCTGAAGCCACCCTGGAGCCACAGGATGGACAAGGAGTCACTGGGCAGTGCGTTCCTCCTAGTTCAGTCACTAACTTGGGGGTGTCCAGTCATCACACCATCCTCCGGTTCTTACCCGAGTCACAGACTGGCCTGCCTGCTGTGTGTCCTGAGCTCTCTGAGATTCTCTGCAGAAACTTGCTAGGTTACGAGGGCCAGGGTGACACAAGTGAGACCAAATATCATTTTGCCAATGAGTCTGAGGCTGTGGTCTTCGGATCCAGTCGTGATGTTTTTATATGTTTAATTAAACTAGATGCTAATGGTGTTTAAACAATAATAATACAACAACTTGCTTCCTTTTGGGCCACCCCCAGGAAGGGCTGATTTCACAATCTGGGGGCAAGCAACCTCAAGGAGCATAGTTCCCCTGCCCATCAAGAATGGTGAAGAAGAGGCCACACCTCCCATTGGCAGGATGACAGTTGAGCCGAGCTGGGGTTGGGTTTTCTTCTGATTCTGCTGCTTGCTGTCATAGCCTTTGTGTATAGCGATGTGTCTGTCTATATGTAAATAGAGAGGGGATGAACAGAGTCTATTTTAGTGTTAGGAGGCCCCGGTGGGGAAGTCCAGGGGAACCCAGTGAGAGTGAGGAACAATTCTCCAGGGGCTACTGGATTTGAGCCCCACTTTTGTGCTCAGCACAACCCCCGCCCCTCCCGACAGCCCCCAAAGACGTAGCAACTCTTTCTCTCACGGTGCTAAAGGTCTCAGTGCAGCACGTCCAATGGGTAGGTACTTGTTGCATGCAAAAAGCTATATAGTGTCTCTGGTCCTTGCCCGCAGCTGTTGTGTGGGATTTTTACTTTGTGTGGTATTCTGTCCCCACCCCTGCCTCTTGGTGATACGAGAAATGGCCTGAGACAGAAGAATGCCCCAGGTGAAACGGGGAAAGCATTAGGCAAAAATCATGTGTGGCATTTCTGGCTATGTGGGACCAGAGCTGCCCCCAGGAAGGAGACAAGCAGGCAGGTAACTGAGTGGCTTGTTCCCCCACCCCCACCTTGGACTAGTAGTAACACCTTATGATTTAGAATAAGTTAATTGTAACCATAGGTATTTATTGATTGGAGGAAGGGAGGACTATATTTTCAGCTTTATTTATGTAACATTTACAGGCTTGTAAAAGGCGAGTATAAAATACTGCATCCCCATTCTCCATGCCTAATCCACATAGCTGCCCTTGCCACGGTTGCCTGCAATGCTCTTGCACAGATCAGAAGGAAAGACGGAAGACAAACAGGTGCAGCCAACCACTTCCACTGTTTGAATGTATTAGAAACTGACTGAGGGGCTGCAGATGTTTTCCTCAGATGAGGCGTGGGGCGGGAAACCCCCAAATGATAGCGCACATGAGCACACGCTTTCTAAAAGGCCTGGGAGCTTTGCCCAGGGTCCCTCCCTCAATTGGCCGCCACAGAACAGTGACCCAGTGGCAGGTTGCACTTTGGTGATCTTGGTCTATACACCTCTGTGGACAATTGAGTTACATAAGCCGTGTGTGTGCACACACATGTGTGACGTACACACTGACCCTCTACACACAGACCCTGTTTCCTGGCAACCCCTCCTGAACCCTGACTTTGTGTACATAGCTGTAAACACGGATTTTTATGGGTTTTGGTTTGCTTATCCCCCCCCCCCACTATCCCCCCCCCAGGAGTTTGCCTTGGGGCTTGCTTGTTGGTAAAGGGAAGGAGTGAAGGAAGCATCCTTTATTTCCTCTGCTCCATTGTTTTTCTCTGGCAAATACCTACAGGCGGAAAGAACACAACACTAAAGTGGCCCCCACCCCCTACAGGCTAGTCAACAGGTACCGAGTCTACAGGCTAGTCTACAGGCAAACAAGAAACACTTGTGTAGCTGCCTCAGATCCGTGGCTTGCTTGGCTAGGTTATAGCTCTTAAAAGGTCCAGCCAGTTCCCACTTCCATACCTGGGGTGCTGGCAGTTGTGCCTGGAGCTGAGGATAGTATCCAAGATGCTTCCTAAAAAGTACCTTGGCTACTTGGTTTCCGAATTGTTGGGAAAGGCCAGCACTCCTGTGAGCACACTGGGATCTCGGGCTAGACTAGCAAAGCCTTCCAAGGTACAGTCTAGGTTCCTGAAGGGAACAAAGCATCGTCCTCACTGTTACCTTAGGTACTTCACAGCTGGTGGAAGGCATCCTTGTGATGCACGTGGTTGGTTCTTTGAACTTGGGCAGTCTGCATTGGCGGAGCCTAGCTGGATCACAGCCCCAGAGGGACAACACCTACCTAGTCAGTCTGGGCCAGAACCCAGGTACCCATCACTTTGAAGCGGCATGGTCTCCAGTGCTACTCACAAGAAATGTCGGAGGTGTGTGGGCAGCACGAATTTGCACTGTACAATTTGCTAGAACATCGAGGCATCCCTGGCCTCCTGGTTTATGGGTTTAATGAGTAGCTCAATGCTTTCCCTGCTCTGTAATGGTGGATATCAATCCTGTGTTTGCATTTTTTGCTGTGGGTGACTGCCATTTCTTACCTTGCTTTCTCTCGCTGTCCCATGGTTGACTTCACGTTAGCAGCAGCAGAGCTGCGCTCGGTCCAGTGCCCACTCCACCACATGCCTGTTTAATTTCCCCCTCACTGTAACCCCTTCTCACCCCACCACAAAAGCTACCACAGAAGGTTTCCTTTGTAAAAAAAAAATATTTATTTTGAAGCTCTATTTTAATAGTATTTATTTTAGAAAGTCTACTATTGTAAGAGTTCTTCTGTTTGTGAAGAAAAAACAAGTTAAAAACTGAATGTACTGATCTAGAAGATATCTATAAATATATATTGTTAAATATACATGTGACCGCCATTCTCTTGTGTGTTGTGTTCCATTGCCTGCCATTCTGACGCAGCAGAAGTTCCATGCTTGTCAACTCAAAGCCACATGAACACAGTGCACACAATGGGCTGGGTGTCTAGACTGGGAAGATGCTTGTCCTACCTCAAATCTGAGAAAGCCACTGAAGGACACTTGCTTACACTTCATAGCAAAGTATGGATGCAAGACCCTTCCTGGGTCCCCTGTCCTTCTCACAGGGATCTGGGGTTTCGATTTTCTTATTTCTTGAGATAGCCTTGCTATATCAAGATAATGTTAGCCTAGGCTGGCATTGAAGGTGTGTCATTGTGCCTGGGTCTCTTACATAGATGGGCAAAAAAGCTTCAGAACTTGGAAGAGCTAGAGGTGGGGGAAAGAACCAAATTTTCATCCTGGTGTTCCCAAAGCTACAGCTTCAGGAAGCCAAGCAGTAGAGCTCATAGTAGATTCCTTGGTTTTCCTCAACTAATGAGACCTAAAACAAGGTCTTTTTACCCCTAAGACTGGCCTCCTGTCCACAGAATCCTCCAGTGCCTTCTCAAATTTGGATCCGCCTGTCTCTGCCTCCTGAGTGCTGGGATCAAAGGTGTATCACCATGCCTGGCCTTGGTGCTTTTTCTTGGTCACAGTGGTGGCGTCTTAGACTTAGTAAAACCCACCCTGTATCAAGGATCCCCTGGCCATTGCCCAAAGGACACAAAAGACATTTCTTCAGTGTGGTCCTGTCTACAGTAGAACTTGAATAAAGATAGTCTCAAGCCCTCCCATGTCCTGACCGTGTGACCTGTCCCACTCTACAGAAGTAATGTTTTAGTCCTAAGTAGTGTCGCACATTTTGACTCATCAGGCTCACTGCTTGTTTTGAGTCTGAGGTTTTAGAGATTAAGAATGCAACCTCAACTGGGGTTTTTACTATCAAAGGCCTATTCTCCCAAATGGTCTGGGGGGAGGAGAAGCCGGAAATATCCAGAAGAGAATTCCACGACTACTATACTTGTCATTCTCCATCTGGCCTTGTCCCTCCTTAGTTTCCAGTTACAAATGACTTAGGGGTGACCCCAAAGGTCAGCACTTGCTGAGTTACTTTTTGCCTGATGCTGTTTGCTTTGAGATGCAGAATGGTTGTTAGGGAGAATTAACTGTTCATGCAGAATAAACTGAGGATTCTGCAGCTGTACTTGAAGTAGTGCATGGAGGACCTGGAAAGTGACCAAATAAAGTTGAATCAATTCTCTTCCTGTCCACAACCTCATAGAAGAAAGAATGGGTTGGGCTTCAGGCTGTAGCTCTGCTAGAGTTCTGCCTAGCATGTTCGGTCTCCAGCGTTGCCCCCTCCTGAAGGGCTTGGCTTGGTGAGGGCTCTCTGACCCATAAGTCTAATCTACCCCTGCATCCTGCAGCCTTGTTCTCTCCAGAGCACCCAGTACACTCGGCTTTCCAGCCATCTACCCAGCGTAGCTAAATAGCTTGAAGTGAATCTAGCTTTCCAAAACGAGAACCCCCAGAAAGACCCAGGCAGCCTTCCCCACACTGGAGGTGCTGCCAGATAAGAGCCGGGAGGACATTTTTAAGAGACTTGAAGTTTATTCATCGGAACTTTAATAAAACAATATGTCCAAGGCCCCAGGCAGGTATAATTTTCATAATTTATGGGTCTCTGAGACAGGAAGAGAGCTCAGGGTTTTATTGTGTTTCGCACGATAAATGGCATTCCAATTGTCTGCCCGGTGTTCTTTAAGGCCTCTTGTCTGGCGGCAGTGCGGCCTTCTGGAGCCCACCTGGGCCCGGAGGCCAGAGGCAAGGGCTAATTATGGATGCATCTGGATGCATTAAGCAGGAGATGACTGAAAAACCCTGGGCTCTACTTCCTATGCCCACACGTGTGCTAACAGTAACTGCTGCAAGTCTCGGAGCCTCATTCTTTTCCCGTCCCAGCCTAGCCCTCCCCATCCTCTCTGCTGGACCTGGAAACTCGGGTGACTTGGAACCCTGCATAGAACAGTCACCAGCCACACGGCCAGGGTGAGTTTCCCATCGGAGCTACCAGTGGAAAAGCCATAGACCAATAAGGCCATGTGGCCTTACAAAGTACTGCAGAGGGCATGGTTGGGGAGCAGAGATGGGACATTGTTGTTTGCAATCTTGAAACTAAATGAAGTTATAATTGGCCTCACTTGAAAGAAAATCAAGGTTCAGATGAGTGAATTTACTTACAGACCTTCAGTCCACCACTGAGAAGTGGTCCACAGGACATTTTTAACCCAGAAGATCTTCCAAAGCTAGTGTGTGATAGATGCTAAGGTCTTTTCACAACTTTTAGGGGTGCTTTCCCCTTGTCCTCAGAGGCTCCTCATCATCACTGGTCCTTCTGAGACAGCCTTTGAGTGTAGACTGTTTTTGTTTGTTTAATTTTTTATGTTTGGTTTTTCGAGACAGGGTTTCTCTGTGGCTTTGGAGGCTGTCCTGGAACTCACTCTGTAGACGAGGCTGGTCTCGAACTCACAGAGATCCACCTGCCTCTGCCTCCTGAGTGCTGGGATTAAAGGCGTGGGGCCAGGCCAGTGTAGGCTGTTTTAACCAAGGTTACTTCCAGCTGTCCCTGAGACAGGATTTGAACCCAAGTCTCAGCCAGTGAGCAGCTTCTGTTAAAGCACTAAGTAGGGCTGGAGAGTCTGCTCAGCGAGTAAGAGTGCCTTCTGCTTTTGCAGAGCGCCTGCGTTCGGTTGCAAGTCCCCCATGGCTGCTCACAACTGTCAGTTCCAGGAGAACCCACACCCTCTTCTGGCCTCCGAGGGCACCAGGTATGAATGTGGTGCACAGAGATATTTGCAGGCAAAACCCCCACACATAAAAAAGTCAACAGCACTAAGGGCCCATCCACAAGCCCGTCCTAAGAAAGTACCTCTGACCACACAGCGCTGCTCTTTACTCTTTTGACATGGGCAACCCTCTCCCACTGGGCTGTACAGTGGCCATCTTCCAAGCAGCACTCCTCAAGGTGACTAAAGCCCTCAGCTTCCATCTAATGCTATACAGAACTAGTCTCCCACTGGCCATGGTCAGTTCCCAGAGTGCATATGGTCAGGGTCTTGGGACTCTGAGAAATGGCTGCCTTACATGGTAAGAACTAGGAACTTACTGGTCTACCTGGTAGCGAATGCGTAGTTCAACCATGGCTGTGTACACGCTGGAGAGGCTGAGAAGCCAGTAATTGCTCAGCCCACACGACTGGACGCTTTAGTAGTCCCATCTAGTGTTGAAGACCTGGAAGTTACAGAGTCTAAGAAGCTGGATTCTAATGGTAGTGGAGAATGGCAGAGCAGGCCATAATGTTAGATATGTTAATGAAGAAGTAAAAGCAGGCAGACATTATCTGGGCCACCTGTTGGAAAGTTGGTCTTTGTTCCTCAGTAATTGCCTCACAGACATGCCCAGGGGTATATCTCCCAATGATTACAGATCTTACTAAGTTGACAGTCAAGAGGAACTATCCAGGCTGGAGATGTGGCTTAGCTGTTAAGAGCTTCTAGGCCTCAAGATCCAAGTACCCACAGGACGGGCAGTTCACAACTATCTGTAACTCCAGTCCAGGGAAATCCAATGCCCTCTTCAGGCCTCCCTAAGTACCTGAATATTCTGTCCCACCAACCAGCTCCCAAATAACCACACAGAGACTTATTATTAATTATAAATGCTCAGCCAGGGGACTGGAGAGATGGCTCAGAGGTTAAGAGAACTGGCTGCTCTTCTAGAGGCCCTGAGTTCAATTCCCAGCAACCACATGGTGCTCAAACCATCTATAATGAGAGCTGGTGCCCTCTTCTGGCATGTCAGCATATATGCTGGCAGAACATTGTATACATAATAAATAAAACTTTTTTTAATGCTCAGGAGATAGCTTAGGCTTGGTTTTTTTGTTTGTTTGTTTTTGTTTTTTGGCTTTTCAAGACAGGGTTCTCTGTGCAGCTTTTGGAGCCTGACCTGGAACTCGCTCTGTAGACTAGGCTGGTCTCCAACTCACACAGATCCGTTTAGGCTTGTTTCCAACTAGTTGTTATAACTTAACCCATTTCTGTTAATTTACTTGTTGCCACCTGGTTCGTGTCTTGTTACCTCATCTTGTCCTGATTCTTCTGAGTCTGGCTGGTGACTCCAACATTCTTCATCCCTGAGAGCTCTCTCCCTGGCCAAAAGTCTCACCTAACCTCTTCCTGCCTAGCTATTGACCATTTAGCTCTTAATTAAACCAATGAGAGCAACAGATCTTCACAGTGGACAAAAAGATTGTTCCATGACAGACAGGCACATGCTGCACAGACACACATGCAGACACCCATGCACATAAAATAGATAAATTAAAAGAAAAAACGTATCACACATAGGCAAATGGATAGAGTATCTGATGTTTGGGCACCTTTGATCCCAACACTCGGAAGGCAGACTTTTGTGAGTTCAAGGCCAGACTCAGAATGAGTTTCAGTACAGCCAGGGCAACACAGAGAAACCCTGTCTTGGAGTGGGGTGGAGGTGGTGGGGGAGACAGCTTCATTGCAGATCCCAACTTCTCTGTTACCTTCTGCCATCTGCCCTTCAAAACTATCCTTCAGGTTAAAATGGCTGTATGAAAGACAGTGTCACATTCCAGATTTCATATCTTTTCTCAAGGCAAATTTTCCTATACACATAGTTGTTTCCCATTGCCTCAGCCTTTCCAGCTAAGTAAGCTAATTAAAATAAAAGCAGCCATCCTTCATACCAATCCCAGATATGTAAAGAAGCTGTAATGGACACCTGACTGTTGTTTCTTGCATCACAGAAGCTGAGCTGTGGGAAAGGGGCTCTTGGTGAAACTGACAGTGTTACTGGGTAAGTTTTCACTACAGCAAACCTGTATTCATGCTCATGGTTCCACTCTTGCTCACCTCCTTCATACAGAATGCATGTGTTTGTCTTCAGAGCTGCGAACACCACACATCTGCAGCTTCAGTTCC